TTCTAGATAACTAATTCATAAAATGTGTCATTCTACTTGTGCAGCTGTGTCTGTTTTGTCTCTGACATATTTGTTAGTTTTGTGTTCTAGATAACTAATTCATAAAATGTGTCATTCTACTTTAAGTGCAGCTGTGTCTGTTTTGTCTCTGACATATTTGTTAGTTTTGTGTTCTAGATAACTAATTCATAAAATGTGTCATTCTACTTTAAGTGCAGCTGTGTCTGTTTTGTCTCTGACATATTTGTTAGTTTTGTGTTCTAGATAACTAATTCATAAAATGTGTCATTCTACTTGTGCAGCTGTGTCTGTTTTGTCTCTGACATATTTGTTAGTTTTGTGTTCTAGATAACTAATTCATAAAATGTGTCATTCTACTTGTGCAGCTGTGTCTGTTTTGTCTCTGACATATTTGTTAGTTTTGTGTTCTAGATAACTAATTCATAAAATGTGTCATTCTACTTGTGCAGCTGTGTCTGTTTTGTCTCTGACATATTTGTTAGTTTTGTGTTCTAGATAACTAATTCATAAAATGTGTCATTCTACTTTAAGTGCAGCTGTGTCTGTTTTGTCTCTGACATATTTGTTAGTTTTGTGTTCTAGATAACTAATTCATAAAATGTGTCATTCTACTTGTGCAGCTGTGTCTGTTTTGTCTCTGACATATTTGTTAGTTTTGTGTTCTAGATAACTAATTCATAAAATGTGTCATTCTACTTGTGCAGCTGTGTCTGTTTTGTCTCTGACATATTTGTTAGTTTTGTGTTCTAGATAACTAATTCATAAAATGTGTCATTCTACTTTAAGTGCAGCTGTGTCTGTTTTGTCTCTGACATATTTGTTAGTTTTGTGTTCTAGATAACTAATTCATAAAATGTGTCATTCTACTTTAAGTGCAGCTGTGTCTGTTTTGTCTCTGACATATTTGTTAGTTTTGTGTTCTAGATAACTAATTCATAAAATGTGTCATTCTACTTTAAGTGCAGCTGTGTCTGTTTTGTCTCTGACATATTTGTTAGTTTTGTGTTCTAGATAACTAATTCATAAAATGTGTCATTCTACTTTAAGTGCAGCTGTGTCTGTTTTGTCTCTGACATATTTGTTAGTTTTGTGTTCTAGATAACTAATTCATAAAATGTGTCATTCTACTTGTGCAGCTGTGTGAGACTATGCTTAACCTGTCATGATTGGACTCATTGTACGATTACTTCACCCTCAGACGATGGTCGTCTCAGAAGAACAAGATGGCAAGACTGATGATGATCCCAGTTTGGCTCGGGGTCAAGTTCCCAGTGTGGGGTCAAGTTCCAGACATGGAGGAACTGAGACAGTTCAACAACGGGTTAGTTTAATTTTTGTGGATCCGTTGACACCAGAGAGTGAATGCTGTTAGATTATGTTTGTTGTAACTGTGCACTTCCATTCATTCTATTTAAATGTTTTCTTTGTTAGATTATATTTGCTCTCAGTCTGTCAGTCAGTAGCATGTCCTTTGCAAAACCTTGCTCTCATAACAACACTCCAGAAAAATTCTCGATCACAAGCAAGATGTCCTGCATTCAATACACCCATCTGGAGATCATCTGCCACATTGTCACATATCACTCCTGTCACGTGCCTGATATAAGGATTTCTCCTTCAGAACCAACAGCACTCAGAAATAATTATGTTGAGTCGTTTGGCTCGTTTTGGTCTAAGGGATTCCCCGTGGCCAATATACGCTCAACTTATTTCTGGAGTAGGGCAACTCAAGTATTGGCACTACAAAATATATCTGTATATGAATACAATATTCCTAGGCACACTTGGCTGGACACCCCCACTACTTACTAAAGAAAGCCCCCAGGTTATGATAATTCATTATCATAACCATGTTAACACATATATTTAAGATTCATACACACACAAATGCTAGACACTTAAAAAGGTGAAATAGAGACACCTAAGTCAGCCATGAAAATGAATGCATGTAATCAATACAACATAGACATATATATATAATAGTGAAGTAGATGCCAGATCTCAATAGCTGGATTCCAGAATACAAAGTCCAGATTACAAAAACAATTAAACAGTCAGAATGTCTGGAGATGACACAACTTCATCCTCGGGAAACATGGGAGCTGTGAGGAATATAGCAAAACATGGCATCAAACTGGCACTTATCCTCTTTCTATCGTTGATGCTCCCCTCCGTTCCTGATGATTCGACTGTCTTTGGTAACTCTGCCTCAACTGGATCAGATGGCGGAGAGGTACCTCACCATAAAGGACACAGCAACTGGATAGGCACACAGCAAATCTCTCCCACTAATCATACGCAGCACTGTCCCTGAGCTACACACATGCTCTGGCACTGTAGGATGTTTGGGGTCCCAAACTGGCGTCAGTCTTCACAACTGGTAGTTGGGTGATAATTGGTAGGTAATAGGTTAATGGTTGGTTGGTTGGACTGTGATTCTTCTGCCAGCTCTTCACAAAGATTTCCTCCCAAGCATAGGAAAAGTCCTAGGCGCTACAGACCGCCTTTTTAACATGAGATATACTGGCGTCGATGGACATGTCTGAGTTCCAGGAAAGCCGGCAGAACAATACCGCTAAATTTCACTTCAGGCGTTGGTAAGAAGTAGTTCCTTGTATACAGGGGCAAGGAGTAAATCGGTTTCTAAGAAACCTCAAATAACTCCTCTAATATTTATCCAATAGTTGCAAATTTGAAAATGACGCTAAGTCAAAGCAACTAGAAGATGTAGATATTATAATTATGTCCGATAAAGGCATATATCGATATAAGGGACTATATACCTTTCCGGACGAGTCCAAGTTTGAATGTTGTGTCGATCACAGGTAAGACAGTTCTCAACTCTGTTAGGGTGATGCGTAATGGCTTATCATTCCACGACACACATCCTGCACCCATTTCCTTGGTAACACAGTTACTGTTTACTCTGTCATCATGATTACTAGTTCTGGTCCCTGTATCACACTCTTCCCCAGTTTTGATCTGCCTGGCCTGGAGGTCTCGCCACCAGATCTCTTTCTTATTATGTTGTCTTTCATGGCTGTTATGGTTTCATGACAAGTTTTGCAGAAGGTAGTTTGCCATTGCTTTCATTCTGGGCAGCGACTGTACTAGTCGGTGGCAATATATGTTCTAACTGTCCCAAAACTGGCACCCCAGAACCCATGTGGGGAATATTTATTTCCCAGTTGACACTTATATTTATTTTACTTATGTGTTATCTTTGTCTGCCTATATTTATTTTTCATTTATGTCTTTTTTTTTTGACAGGTGATTGTGGACATGAGAGAGTTCAGAAGTGAGTTACCTTCCCTGATTCACCGTCGTGGTATCGAGATTGAGCCTGTCACGATAGAGGTTTGCCAGATTTTTAAACATTCCGAGTTACACCATTTCTTCCTCTTCCTAATTTGTCCTAAGAATAATGTTGAGAGCATTATGTCTGCAGCTAAAGTGCGATAATTGTGCTTTATGGCCCCCACTAATATCATTGGAGACCTCGGAGATATGGTTTTACGGAAGAAACCGTAGAATTGCTTGGACAGCCAAAAGAGTGGGGTTTTTTTTTTTAACTGAATACGAACTGATACTTGCTGTTAAAGATCCCAGGTTGTGGAGAGTCGTGATCGTCCATACCGGTCAGCATAAAGTTAATAATGATAGCCGCTACATCTGACCCACTAAATGTATTTTTAGAAAGACCTGTTCCCACATAAATTAAACATGAAACATCCTCTTTGGGTAGTTTGCTAATCTGATTTTTGTCAGGACTGTTGCCATTGTCAACCTACTGTATTTGATATCAATGGTTGTGGGATCTTTCAGATATGCAAGGAACATCATATTTTCTCTCTTAGCTAGTTACTTAGATGGTTGGTTGGTTAGTTATTTTCTTATCAATTTTTGCTTCCTTTGAAGTCTGAGTGCCCCTGCCTGAGAGGCTAGGAACGAACATTCTGCATGCAAATAGACCAGATCTGTAAAATGGAATGTGCACGCAAAACTTATGTTCTGGAACATTCTGGTAACTTGTGTGCTGGTCCTTACCTACGAGTGTGAGGCATGGGCAATGACAACACATCACAGAAGCCAGCTTCAGGCCTCAGACGTGAGATATCTAAGAAAGGTGGTCCAAGTGACAAGGAACAACATCCAAAATCAGGCATAGGTCAAGATCCTAAAACCCAGGCCTTATAAACCTGAGTAAATCAGTCACAATTATGAATGGGAGAAAATTGGGCACCATGGGAGGCTAAGAACCAGAGAACCAGGGTGACGCAGGGTTTGCTGGGAAGACAACATTCGACAGTCCCTGACTAGCAGAGGACTGGAGTGGAACAAAGCCAGAAAGAAAACTGCTGATGGCAACGTCTTGTGATCTCTCTGGCAAACCTCTACACCCCAGGGTAGAAGAGGAGCAACTAAGTAAGTAAAGTAAAACATTCTAGTGGAGTTTACAGCTTGTGAATGCTAAGAAGAAGAACTGGATGAACAACCGGAACTTTCCTGCGGAGTTTACAGCCGGTGAATTGCTAAGAAGAAGAACTGGATAAACAACCAGAACTTTCCTGCAGAGTTAACAGCCGGTGAATTGCTAAGAAGAAGAACTGGATGAACAACCAGAACTTTCCTGCAGAGTTAACAGCCGGTAAAATGCTAAGAAGAAGAACTGGATGAACAACCAGAACTTTCCTGCAGAGTTAACAGCCGGTGAAATGCTAAGAAGAAGAACTGGATAAACAACCAGAACTTTCCTGCAGAGTTAACAGCCGGTGAAATGCTAAGAAGAAGAACTGGATGAACAACCAGAACTTTCCTGCAGAGTTAACAGCCGGTGAAATGCTAAGAAGAAGAACTGGATAAACAACCAGAACTTTCCTGCAGAGTTTACAGCCGGTGAAATGCTAAGAAGAAGAACTGGATAAACAACCAGAACTTTCCTGCAGAGTTAACAGCCGGTGAAATGCTAAGAAGAAGAACTGGATAAACAACCAGAACTTTCCTGCAGAGTTAACAGCCGGTGAAATGCTAAGAAGAAGAACTGGATAAACAACCAGAACTTTCCTGCAGAGTTAACAGCCGGTGAAATGCTAAGAAGAAGAACTGGATAAACAACCAGAACTTTCCTGCAGAGTTAACAGCCGGTGAAATGCTAAGAAGAAGCACTGGATAAACAACCAGAACTTTCCTGCAGAGTTAACAGCCGGTGAAATGCTAAGAAGAAGAACTGGATAAACAACCAGAACTTTCCTGCAGAGTTACCAGCCGGTGAAATGCTAAGAAGAAGAACTGGATAAACAACCAGAACTTTCCTGCAGAGTTTACAGCCGGTGAAATGCTAAGAAGAAGAACTGGATAAACAACCAGAACTTTCCTGCAGAGTTAACAGCCGGTGAAATGCTAAGAAGAAGAACTGGATGAACAACCAGAACTTTCCTGCAGAGTTAACAGCCGGTGAAATGTTAAGAAGAAGAACTGGATAAACAACCAGAACTTTCCTGCAGAGTTAACAGCCGGTGAAATGCTAAGAAGAAGAACTGGATAAACAACCAGAACTTTCCTGCAGAGTTTACAGCTGGTGAAATGCTAAGAAGAAGAACTGGATAGACAACCAGAACTTTCCTGCGGAGTTTACAGCTGGTGAAATGCTAAGAAGAAGAACTGGATAAACAACCAGAACTTTCCTGCAGAATTTACAGCCGGTGAAATGCTAAGAAGAAGAACTGGATGAACAACCAGAACTTTCCTGCAGAGTTAACAGCCGGTGAAATGCTAAGAAGAAGAACTGGATAAACAACCAGAACTTTCCTGCAGAATTTACAGCCGGTGAAATGCTAAGAAGAAGAACTGGATAAACAACCAGAACTTTCCTGCAGAGTTAACAGCCGGTGAAATGCTAAGAAGAAGAACTGGATAAACAACCAGAACTTTCCTGCGGAGTTTACAGCCGGTGAAATGCTAAGTAGAAGAACTGGATAAACAACCAGAACTTTCCTGCGGAGTTTACAACTGGTGAATCTTGAGAAGAGGGGGAGGAGAGATCATTTTTACATAAAGCAAAACCATATATGCAGTGATTTTTTGTTTAGCATGTTTGCCAAATAGGCTGATTGGCAATTTAAGTTCTGTGTTGGCCGATTAGACACTGCGTCTGCTCCCTGTATAAAAGTTGTTCACTGCAACACCCTATATTCCCTCCAGTTTTATTGGGGGATGGAAGGGTGGGTTTCTGCATATAAGGTCAATGATCTTGTTGCGCGCTGATTTGGGTTAAGTGTGATATTGTGGGAAGGGACAATGGTATGCCTGTACTTCCTGTAAGTTCACGAGGAAAGAGTGTCAATATGATCCGAGTATTAAGAGGAGACCAGTGAAAACGTCTATTCATGAACAAGGCGTGCTTGCACGAGAGAAAGTGGACGCGTAGGATTCTGTGTGGTGGGCTGAAAGCGTGGATAACGAGATAAAGTGTGAATTAAGTGACAGCGTGATTCTCGGGTAACATCAGCCACCCACATAAGCGTGATCCTCGGGAACGCTCACATGAGCGAGTCCCGAGAACACCCACAGGATCATGATTCACGAGAACGCCCACACAAGCGTGCCTCTCGTGTAATCACCATCTACCTACACGGATTCGACATATATAAATTGGGCTGCGTAGACAGTCCAGGGAGTGAGCTGTAGCCTGAGGGCTAAAGCCCCTCGGGGGCAGTAGATAGAGCGAGAAGCGAGAAGAGAGAGAAAACGAGAGTCAGAGACCAAGTCAGGGTCCAGGTAATCTCTCGAGTCTAACGGACAAACATACCGTACGACTATCGGGCATTTAGGTCCGAGTAAGTGTCGAGATTGCGGTACATGTCAAAAGTATGAGAGGACTTATGGTAGAAGTCCTGTCGGTCATTGGAGTCTAACCGACTAGAATACCGTACGACTATCAGGGATTTAGGTCTGAGTAAGTGTCGGGATTGCGGTATGGAAAATATGGTTCCGCTGGCAAAGTAAGTCCAGGGGACGGGAAGGCCAGTAGTGCCTGGTTTCGGAGTACGGCAAGAGAAGTCCGTCTCCAGTCAGCCGTGTTGTATGCTGAATTAATATCAAGGTCCAGTGAATGGGAGAAGTCGTCCTGTTCAGCTGTACGACGCGTCCAGAGAGTGGGACGCCGTCATCCTGGTATCTGCAGTAGTCCAGGAGAGGTCACTACACATTGAGAGATAGAGAACTGTGAGGACAAATGAACGCTGTGCGAATGTCAGCTGTGATCAATAACTACGTCTCTGCATTTGTGTCATGTATCTTGTTAAATAAACTTGTATGACGGTGTCATTGTCGTCGAGTTGTCTTGTTAAGAAAGGAAGCTGAAGAGTACCTGCTAGACACTTGGTAGTGTGCTGACTCAATTTAGCACACAACAGATCTACAGAAATCGTAAGTATCCCTGCAGTTGAGGATCTGCTCAGAGGGACAGAGCAGGTATGATTATGTCCTGAATGCGGTTTAACAAAAAACAAAAACAAAACCCAAAAAAAGTCAAGGACTTTTTTCCACGCCTTTCAGGCATATTGGGTATATAGGGCTAGACCTATATTTTGTAGTCCATACAGCACTTGGTGGGTGATATGGTTAGCATCATGCCAGCCACCTTTACTTCCCAGGACTGTACCTGCTACTCAAGGCTGGGTCATCCTGGGAGCCAAGGTAAATTTTTAAATTTTGTTCTGGCCTTCGTCAGGAACCGAACCCACAACCTTCTGATCCACAGCCGAGCGTCTAGCCGCTAGACCACTGAGGCTTCCCTGAATGCAGTGTTTGGTTTTTGTTTTTTTTCTGTGAATATAAATAATACATTTTAAACTTGCTGATACTAAGTAACATTTTATATTTGTTGCTCTCCTAGGTTGGAGACTACATTTTGACACCTGACATTTGTGTGGAACGTAAGAGTGTCAGCGATCTGATTGGCTCCTTGAACAACGGCCGCCTCTACCAGCAAGCCTTGTCCATGTGCAGGTTTTACAAGAGACCTGTCTTGTTGATTGAGTTTGATGTCAACAAACCGTTCTCCTTGCAGGTGAGTCAGCTAGGTAGTTGTGAATCAAGAATCAACATCACAGCACTCGGGACATGTCCATAAGGGCTCCGTCTTCATCTTTAGCAGCAAGCACAGTTTCAACTCCTATGGTACCAGTAACAGTCTGATTGTATATATCTTTCTCAACTTTTCCTTGAGTGATGAGCATCGGCCAGATCCCCTGGTCAGTCCTCACGGCACATTCCTCTCAGATCGTAATGATCTGTTTGTGCCTCAGAGGTTCTAAATTAAGGCTAAGGAGCTGTGTAATTGTTTCTCACACGGTAGGTAAATTGTGAATCCAGGTGAGTTAGCTTTATATTTCTAGGAAGGTTCTATGTTCAGGTGATTGATTTGATTTGATTCAAGAACCGAGATCACAGCACTCGAGGCATTCCCAAAAGCGCTTCGTCCCCATCTTCAGCAGCCAGCGAAAAGTTCTGATTCTAATGGTGCAAGTAGCATTCTGATTAAACGTCCGTCTTGCCTTTCCTCTGAGCCTCGAGCATCTGCCAGAACCACTCGTTACTCCTCCCTGCATCAACCTCACCAGACTGTGGTGATCCATCTGCTCCTCCGACCTGTACACGCTCTCCCACAAGTCACCAGGTGATTGAGCTATGTTGCAGTGTCTTATTCTGTGTGTCTGAAGGTAGGTTCTATATTCAGGTGAGTGGGCTATATCACAGTGTCTCATTCTGTGTGTCTCTAGATAGGTTCTATATGCATGTCAGTGAGCTGTGTGGTAGTGTCTTGCAATGTGTTTCTCCTGTAAGTTCTCATTTCAGGGAGGTTCTGTGAAGGCCCAGCCAAGTTGCTCTAAATCCTCAGACTCAAAGACCTCTCTGCCTGTTCCACAAAAAGTTGCAAATGCAGGCAGTAATGATAGCTCCCCCCCCCCCTTTTTTTGTTGTTGTTGTTGTTGTAAGGGCATCAGTTAGACAATGCTAGGATGAAGCCAAAGCTGTACAGGTTGTAAAAGATGCATCCCTTGCTGGGTCTTGCTTCTAACCCACTGAGTTGGTTGTGTTATTGTTTTCTTCTTCATATTCACCAGCTGTAAAATTTGGCTGAAAGTTCTGGATGTTCGTCCACTTCTGGACTTTAGTTTGTTCCAGAACTGGAATTTTGTGTGCACATCCGTTTTACAGATTTGGCTTATTTTTCTACACACTGTTGATTTATTGCCTCTCATGCAGATACCCTCTGACTTTGAAGCCAACACATTAGTCGGTCAACTTTTATGACTTGCTTGTCGGGGGAGGAAGGGGGTTGACAGCAGTGGGTCTATTCTTCCCCCCACCCCCAAAAATGGAGCCTGGGAACCCACACAGGCAGTGTCAATGTGTTAATTACTTTCTTTCCGTCGCTGAGACAATAGGAATGGTTTTCTTATAATGATATTAGGTAAGTAAAGATCCTTTGACACCATTTGCTGCATCAGGCATAACTTCTTCTTAGTATTCATCTTCTGTGAAATCCAGCAGAAATTTCTGGTTGTTTGTCCACTCCTGGACTTTGATCTTAATCTAGAACTTGAGTTGTGCATGCACATGAGATTTACAGATCTGGCTTATTTGAATGCAGACTGTTGGTTCCTAGCCACTCAAGCAGATACACGCCAGCTTTGAAGAAAACAACTAATGTTTACCTGCTACAACAATGGGGCCCTGGAACCCACACAAGGAGTATTCGTGTGATGATAGTAAGTAAAGTCAAGGACTCTTTTATACCAGTGCCACATCAGGCTGTTGATGTTGAATTTATATTTGTATAGGCCAGCCGCACTCAGTGGATGATGGGGTCAACATCTTGACCTTCTTTACTTCCCAGGACATTTCCTGATACCCATTTTAGGCTGGGAGTCAAGGTCAGTTTTTGAAAAAAATAAATCTGCCTCAGGGATTGGAGATTGAAAAGGATTATCATCACAGCACTCCTGACAGATCCATAAGTGCTCCGATCTCCTCCTCAAACGCTCCACAAGTGTAAAATGACTGATGACGCCTGTTCTGTGTTGGTTAATGAAACGTCTTGTCCCCTTAGTGAAATGTTCATTTCTTGCAGCTCCAGGCTGTATCCCCATGTCCATCAGTCTAGACAGGGATACGGAGTCATGTCCTTTAGCGTGCTGCTCAGTGTGAATTTGAACCCAGTACCTTCTGACTGGCAGGCGAGCACCTAGTCACTATGCTAGCACAGCTCCCTGTCATGTTAATGTGATTTTCCTAATACAGTATGCTGTCTTTGCAATAACTGATTTTGTGTTGCTCACAGGCCAAAGCTACTTTAAGTGGGGATGTATCATTGCAAGATGTCACATCCAAACTGGCAATGTTGACAATGCACTTCCCAAAACTGCGACTGATATGGTGCCCCTCTCCGTACGCCACAGCCGAGCTGTTTGAAGAACTTAAAGCCGGACGCCCCCAACCCAGTGCTGAGATGGCGATGACTGTGACAGCGGCTGTATCTGACATGCCAGATTGGAATGACAAGTATAGTCATGGGCCACAGGTAATTAAGTTGATGATGTCTGTCAGATCTAGGTTGAAAAGAAGCACACACAAATCTACTAAACATGTAGTCCCATGGCAGATGCCGTCATTATGGTGTGAAGTGTTGTTAGTAAGTAAGATATATTATAATTTATACCAAAATAAAATTAAGTAGAATAAAGGTAAAGTAAAAGTAGAGTAAAAACTTCTCTTCTTCTTCGCCTTCAGCTATTTGAACTCTGGCGGACATTCTGGTTGTTCGTCCACTTCTCGACTTTGGTCTTGTTCCAGAGGTCTTGTTCCAGAACTTGAGTTTCACATGCACATCCATTTTTTTCCTTCACAGTCAAAGTGCATCTGCCTGAGAAGCTAGGAACTAACAGTCTGCATACACAAAGCCAGATCTGTAAAATGGATGTGCATGCAAATCTTAGGTTCTGGGACAAGACCAGAGTCTAGAAGTGGACAGATGACCATAACTTTCCACCAGAGTTTACAGCCACCGAACATGAGGAAAATGAAAGAAGAAGAATACATATCACAGTAGTATTTTTTTTTCCAACTAAATGACCTCGATAAGGTCCAGGAAATATCATAGGAGGTAAAAGCAATCAGCATGATATGGACCGCATCACAAATTGAGAGTCCATTGGTCTATAAAAATAGGAGCTAGCACCATATGCCAGAAACTGTCATTAAAAGGGTCCTTTATTTACTTTACTATCCCATGTGGTTCCATGTCCCATTTGGAGGAGGGGGGGGGGCGGTAGATTCACTGCTCCTGAATAAGCATGTCATAATAGGCGACTTAATTCAGATTTGCTGAAATCAGATGTGTTTGGCCAAAGTGTGTAGATATAACAGCCTAGCTGTAAACCACTGCCCAGTTTGCCAACCAGACTATTAAGAGTGAGCACAGAGGAAGAAGAATTGTGCCAATAGCCATCCATTCTTCTTACCTTTCTTCTGAGGAGTCTGCCAGATCCTATCGTCACTCCTATTTGCAAGATTTTTTTGGGTATAGACTAGTGATTCCCAAACTTTTCTTAGTTGCGGTGCCTTTTTTCAATTAAAATTTGTCCACAGCGCCCTGACCTAAGTAAAAGTATGACTATTCCTATGTAAGAGATGAAAAAAAAAAAAACTTGTATATTTGAATATTTTGCGGCGCCCCTGTGAAGAGGTCGCAGCTCCCGGGGGCACAGCAGCGCAAAGTTTGGTAATCACTGCTTTAGACCATGGGGATTTGTTATTCTTTTATGTCATTCATCTGCTTCCTCCTTCTTCTTCTTGTGTTTACTTTCTGATTTACACCGACAGATCGGTTATCTTCTTCCAAAGGGCCTTTACCAAATCCGCTCAGGTACAAACATTCAGCATAATAATGCATTGTTTTATCTGTCTCTGTCACCAGGATTTTGTTTTGAGAATGCCAGGGATCAACTCCAGAAACTTCCGCCTCATCCTCAACAAATTCCAAAACCTGTACGAGGTCTCCCAGGCCAGCCTGGATAGCCTGACCCAGGTCCTGGGCAGCAGCGTACATGCCCAGCAGCTCTACGACTTCCTGCACAAGGAGCAACAGGCAGAACCTCAACCAAAACCTGGACCTCATGATAAGAAGATGAAGACAAGGGGCAAGACCTTTACTAATAAACTACGTGGGGGCAAGAGAAAGAAGTAGTGGTGGGGTTGATAATGTGTGAGGTATGAATTATGCTGAATCAATTCAATTCAAAGCTTGTGTAAAATGTTTGGGGGATGATTGTTGTATAGAGCATGTTGAGGGCATGTATTTTCTCTGTTGCAACATATGGATGTAAGTTGTGGACTATCTGACAGTCATGAATGAAGAAAATAAAGGCTTTTGAGATTGGAGACTGTATTTTAGAAAGAAAAAACTGGGGGGGGGGGGGGGATTAAGCTCTGGTGAGGGTATAAAAATAGAGAAATGGAAACTACAGGCAAGTGAGAAATTGAAAAATATTTTTTTTTCAAATTTGGTTACAGAAGAAATGTTTGGCGTTGAGTCCTAACGGCAAAATAGATCCCAGCTGAAAGTTTGTTGCTGTTGTCGGTCTTATTTTCACTTTCATAAACTTGTGTTAGTAACATAATGTTAGATAACTTTCCTGCATTAGTGGCATCCTTTAGCTGTCAGGCTATCAGCCTGGGTTACCAGTTTAGATAACTTTCCTGGGTTAGTGGCATCCTTTAGCTGTCAGGCTATCAGCCTGGGTACCAGTTTAGATAACTTTCCTGTGTTAGTGGCATCCTTTAGCTGTCAGGCTATCAGCCTGGGTTCCAGTTTAGATAACTTTCCTGGGTTAGTGGCATCCTTTAGTTGTCAGGCTATCAGCCTGGGTTCCAGTTTAGATAACTTTCCTGGGTTAGTGGCATCCTTTAGCTGTCAGGTTATCAGCCTGGGTTCCAGTTTAGATAACTTTCCTGGGTTAGTGGCATCCTTTAGTTGTCAAGCTATCAGCCTGGGTTCCAGTTTAGATAACTTTCCTGGGTTAGTGGCATCCTTTAGTTGTCAGGCTATCAGCCTGGGTTCTAGTTTAGATAACTTTCCTGTGTTAGTGGCATCCTTTAGTTGTCAGGCTATCAGCCTGGGTTCCAGTTTAGATAACTTTCCTGGGTTAGTGGCATCCTTTAGTTGTCAGGTTATCAGCCTGGGTTCCAGTTTAGATAACTTTCCTGGGTTAGTGGCATCCTTTAGCTGTCAGGCTATCCGCCTGGGTTCCAGTTTTATAGCGAGCAGGCCACCCCTTAATTACTCAATTCCTGTACCCATTAAAACCAGACAGTATGCCCATTGCTGTCCCATGTCAGAAGTTAGCAGTCCCAGCGAAATCCAACAGCTTGCACATGCATCAGTAGCATAGGGAAACATCTGTGTTATTCAGCATGAGCTTATGAAATGGGTTTCAGACATATTAATGTGTATTGGTTAGTTAGTTAGTTCAGGCAAGTCCATAAGCACTCAGATCCCATCTTCAGTATATCCCCCAGCATGTGGCGACTGACAACACCAGTTCTGTGTTGGTTTACTATTCTTTTTTGGCTACCTGTATAGTGTTTATGTTTGGCGACACCTCTTTTGGCATAAAACTTGTAAAAAGTTCTTGTAGTCTTTCGAATGTTGCTAATTCAGTGTTGTCTCCTAAATCATCTTCTCGTTTTGTCTTCTTGAGAGCATTGAGAATGTAGGCCCCGTACATTGCTTTTCCTGTACCTACCGTGGCCCTGCCAGCAAACCAATCCGCACATTAATTCCCTCTCACCCCAGAGTATCCTGGCACAAAAATGAAACTAATTCCAATCAGACAAGGTTTCCTCAGCGACTCCAACCATTTTCTTCGAACCCATCCCATCGCTAGTTAAGCATGGAATCACTTGGAATGCAGGCATGAAAAAAGTGATGTGTCTCTACCCACATCATTAATTTCGTCACCGCCATCACCTCCATAATTGGACTACTTATAGTTGAGGAAAAGGCCCTGCTATCTTCTTTTACAGTTTTTCCCTCAAACCAGAACTGTGAAAGCCCATGAACTTTGTACGTGTTGAACTTAATGTGTGTATGTGTGCACATATATGTATGAATTGTGTGTGTGTATACATAAAATAAGAAGAGACATAAGGGAGAGAAAGAGGAACAAATTTTTTACAGAAATGATATAACTGTTGTTTGCCAGCTCATTTAAGTATGCCAGAGGTCATATTGAGTGTAAGTGCAGATGAATATTATGCATATTTCTACAGATTATATGATAACAGATAATCATGAATTGTTTATGATTATATGCTGAATTTTTTCACAAGAACAAATCAGTCTGCCTGTTTACTTATCGGCTTGGTCCTGTTTGTGTTGTCATTGTATGGTATTGTGGTTGTTGTTGTTGTTCTTCTCCGCACTCACTGGCTGTAAACTCCAGTGGAAAGTTCTGGTTGTTCGTCCACTTCTGAACTTTAGTCCTGTTCCAGAGTCTTTTTATTGCATGCACAATTGTTTTACAGATCTAGCTTTTTGTTTGTTTGTATGCAGACTGTTGGCTCCTTGCCTCTGTGGCAGATACACTCCAACTTGGAAGGGTTCCCTAGTTATTCAGCTCCTATAACATGCTGGTTGGGGAAGCAATGAGTCCACCCCCCCCCCCCCCCTTACACATATACCCCACAGTAGGGGTCCCAGGGCCCACATGGAGATTGTGGTTGTTATGTTTTTATTGTGTTTCTTGGGAAGCAGCTGGCCAGGTTTTTAAAGCATTTAGCTCTTATTAGCAGAAACCACATTTGAGTCTCTGGTAAAGTTAGAAGATTTTCCAACTGCACTAGCAATGAGCTGTCTTGCTGCTGACCACATCACCCTTCAAATGTTGATTGGTCTATAAAATATAGGTCTAGCCCTATATGCCTGAAGGCCTGGGGGGGTTCTTTACTTTACCAACTAGCAATGAGACCCTAAATCTTCTGTCTAAAAATCATGCTCTGGCCTAGTCGTCCTTAATCAGAGGTATAATAAGTGCACCATTTATAATTTTGTGTTGCCTTTATTAAGTAACAGAAAGTATTGTGAACGGCACTCATAGAAAGAAGTAGAAAGATAGAAGAACACACTAGACAACATAAAAATCGAAAGCTATAGTTACCGTGCCGGCCTTCTTTATTAATTAGTATTTTATTTGTTATACAGCCATCATACAACTATATCAAACGTCACTATGGATTGGAAGGAGCAGTAGCGGAGGGCATGGTACTGAGCTAGAGATGCAGGGGCCGACCGCTGTGAAGATGGACACAGGACATAAGAGACACACTGGGCAGATAAGTTCATTGGATGGGTGAGCTGGCAAGGGACTGAGTTGCTTTCAGGCAGGCTGTAGGGGAGTTACATTCTGTAATAGATCTGCTACATGCAGATGAAGATGATGATGTTACAGTCATCAAAGAGTCAGGCTGGTCTTCTTCTTCTTTCGTTCGCCATATTTCCATGGCGTGTGTGCATGGCATCCTGATTACTGTGGTGCGCCTCCTGGCTGGTTGCCTCCGGTTTTGCTAGGGTAGACTGATCATACTCGAGGAGAGTAGGCTCATCCCTTCGCCTTTACCTCGTTTGTTGTCCCATCCAGTTTCCTGCCGGAGGTTGAGACCCCAACATTCAACAGGATTGGTGGGAAGAACAGGATCCACCACGTGAAGGTGAGGTAGGCTTGAGCAAGAGACATTAATAGACATTAAGAGTCTTGTATTGCGCATTATTGCTTCATTAGGACCCCAGTCAGGGATGTAAATTGCATTTGTCTGGTGGCAGGGGAGTTGTCTTCTTTCTTATTTGTATTCACCAGCGGTAAACTCCAGCGGATAGTTCTGGCTGTTCGTCCACTTCTGGACTCTGGTCCTATTGCAGAATCTTAGTGTTGCATGCACATCCGTTTTACAGGTCTGACTTCTTTGTATGCCACCTGTTGGTTCCTCGCTCACAAGCAGATGCACTTCAACTTTGAAGGAAAGTCGACTCTTACTACATGCTTTTTGGGCAGGCAGTGGGTCTATTCTTGTTTTACCGACAATGGACCCCCGGAACCCTAGAGGTAGAAACACTTCATTTCCACAAGGCTCCACTTTAACCCTGTTTTCTAACGTGAATTGCAGAACATGTTCAGTGAGGCCAGATTTCTGGTCTAATTCTGACCAAATTGTTATCCATTGTTAGTCCAAAAATGGTGAAAATATGGAGGTGACTGCAGTCGAGCTTATACAAGGAATTCCAGAGAAATTTGACTAAAAAGCTCAACAAAATGGACAAGCTCCTTAGATTGCGCAGGTTATCTGGTAATCTGGTAATCCTAGTTTCAGCATCATAGCAAACGGGTCACCCCATTGTTGCTCCGCTCCTGTGCCAACGAAAAACACTCGTAGCTCACAGTGTCACACCATGCACTCAACTCAGAAGCTGGGTGACGAAACCATATCCTTCCAGTCTACAAATGGAGCAAAAATGCAACGGCCACCGCCACGGCTAAAAAAAAAAAATTAAAAAAAAAAAAAAAAAAAATGGCCGTGCCTAGCGTCCACTGTGACTTGAAGCATTATGTGAGGGGTTAACAAATGGTCACCCCAGCAGTACCCTCACTATTAGCTGGGAAAGGGACTTAGGACATTACATCCACCAGCAGGCGTCGCCCCTACAACGACCTGACTGCCTTCGTTAACGACTGTTCACCCAACAGCCATGCAGTTCTTTGGCACGAAGGAGACACCTTGAACTTGGGTTTCGGAATGCCGACTTCCTACAAAATGTTATTTTGTGTTTTGTTATCACAATCGACGTCACTGCACATTGGGCATACCCATGCGTGCGCAGTCCTCCGAAGCAGCAGCCACTCCAAAAGTACTTCTACTAATTGTCCCCCATGAGAAGCTGGTTATATTGTCTCCTTTCTCGGCCTCGCAGACGGCAAAGACGTGCTTCACCATGCTTAACTCCCATGTCACGCAATCGTGTTAGTGTCAGGGATTCGATATTATCCACTAGCCCAGTACGTACAGCGTTAACGATATCTGCTCTGCCCATGCGTTTTTTCCCGCAATCATTAGTGCTGTGCTTGCCAGTTGGTCCGCTCGCTCATTTCCCTTTACGCCCGCATGACCCGGTGTGTAGATCCAGGTTACGGAAGT